TTCTAGGGCTCAACATCCTCCAGTCTAGGTGAATGCTCAGCCATATCTAGTGTGGGATTTGGCACCCATACTTAAGTGGAATGGAGTAACATAGACTACAAGTTATTGATGTTTGAATATCCGAGAAGAAATATCTGTTGTATCTAAGTTATTCATGTTAGAGTATCTAAGAGGAAGTATCTGTCATTTCTGAAGTGAAGTCATATTCCATGGGTTTTGGATGAACTTCCTTAATATTGATCTAAAAAGGTGCCTAGTAAACAATGGTATAGTTTTAGATCCAAAACTTGTTCTTCGAGATCTCAAAAATCTAATAATAGAGGTCATAGAACTTCTAGTCTTCACCTGTATGCTTTGTCTATCTGAAGTGAAGTCTTATTCCATTGGTCTAGGTCAATGCCCCACAACATGTGATTTTCTTTATTAACATGTATTTTATTTATTTTGTTTTATCACATCTTCAGGCAACTGTTTACAAAACAGGATCGGTATGTGCTGCTTTTCTTGCCAATATTGACACCAAATCTGATGCCACTGTGACGTTCAATGGCAACTCATATAACTTGCCTGCATGGTCTGTGAGCATCTTACCAGATTGCAAAAATGTGGTGCTTAACACTGCAAAGGTTTGCTCCATAGCTTCTATTTCACTTGTGTTTGCTTGTATTTGAAGAAAAGTACCTATATTTATTTGTTGAAGTGTAGAATGTAAATATTCTTTTAAATTCTTCATAAGTAATAAGGTCAAATCATGTCTTGTTTTTCTCTTTCATTGTAACAGTTTCGTAATCAAAGTATATAACATTATCATGACAGATTAACTCTGCCGCCATGATTCCAAGCTTCATGCATCACTCGTTGATAGATGACGTTGATTCCTCTGAAGCTTTGGGCTCAGGCTGGAGTTGGATAAATGAACCAGTGGGTATTTCAAAGGATGATGCATTTACCAGAGTTGGATTATTAGAGCAAATAAACACAACAGCTGATAAAAGTGACTATCTATGGTACTCTTTAAGGTATGCAATTCATGGATGCTTTCTTAATATGTATTTATTGCCTTTCAGCCAGTTGTCTTGATTTCTTTCTTTCAAGACTGAAATCCCTTTTCTAAACAAATTTTGCAGGATTGATGTCACAAATTCTGAAACGTTCCTTCAAGATGGATCTCAAACTGTTCTTCATGTGGAATCACTTGGCCATGCTCTGCATGCATTTATTAATGGAAAGCTTGCAGGTATGAATAAAATAATTTACTTTGGTTCCAAGTCAATTGCTTGGCCTTCATGCCCTTGGTGGTAATCCAGCTGCTACTTTAGTTGACATTGACATTGACATTGACAAATAGACGTTGACATTGTCTTTAGAAATTGTGAAGGAAACCCCATTTTCATTTTCCCTAAACCTTTGTACTTTGGAGAGGCCTTCATGGGCTGCAAATCCAGTAGGAATCCTCTGAAATTTGGGGTGGAAGAATGAGTCATAATTGCCTTTCTCAAACATATTTATTAGTCAAAACAAGGTCAACGCCATGCTTCCTCAAGTTTGTAAATCCTGTTAGATTTTCTATATAGTGTTCATGATCTTTCACACAACCTAAAATACGTAGAAGACATACCTGACATCATCAACTTTGAGTACATGATCTCAGAACTCATTTAATCGCAGCAGGAGCAACACGAGCAAAAGACACGAATGGCTTAAGACTTCTGCTCTCTCTCAGAAACTATTTCAGCTCTCTCTTTATGATGAGATTAGGTTTAGAGAACGTGTCTGACAAGAGCAGGGTCTTAAGCTTATATAGGGCTAGGTTAAGTTGTCTCTACTCATCACCAAGGGCCGACTTGACTAACACTTTAAGCCCATCAAGCAACGGTTCACGCAAAAGGAACTAAATAGGACCCCTTCAATTGGCTTCAAAACTTTCCATATTTCACAAGGTTTTGGGCCTCAAGGTATAACCTAATTTAAACTCTTATCAAACCTGATATAACTTAGTATCTAGTTCACCGATCTAAATAGGAATATAACAAATCCTTCTCTGTCTTTGTAATTACACTTTGATGTTGGACCTTTTCTTTGTTGATTTGATGTATCTTATCTCACTCTAAAACTAAATTGAATGCTAACCTGACATTTCTTGACCAATCTAAGTTCTATATCCCCCAAGCCATTCTGTTTATAGACTTTGAGGACATTAAACATAGTTTCTGCTAACTGTATTGCAAAAGAAGCTTTCAAAATATTCTCTTATTAGGCTCCATTTGATCTTAAATATAGCAGTCCTATGTTTCTTGCTATTCGGGAAAAGCTTCCTCTAGTACATTAGATTAGATACTAAGACAAAAGCCTGATGATAAGGTTCAGACTTTGCAATTGTGAATTTTCAAATCTAAATGAGTTCTTGACAAGTAAATACACGAATAGCTTGAATTATTACAACTGTTTGAGCCTTTTTCTTTTCTAGTCTTGTAATTTTCTTTTAATTGAATTCCTTTCAGGGAGTGGAATAGGAAACAGTAACAATGCCAAGGTTTCTGTGGAGATCCCTGTCGCATTTGCATCTGGGAAGAACACAATAGATCTTTTGAGTTTGACTGTTGGGCTTCAGGTTTGGCCTTAATGTTTATGCTTTCAGTACATGCATTTAATAAGAAACTTTCATCTATATCTTATTCTGTCGTTGCAGAACGAATTCCATTCTTTAAGGTCAATATATGACTGAGTAATATCTTTTGTGTACCTATTTTTCAATCAGAACGTTGGAGCTTTCTTTGACAAGTCAGGTGCTGGAATCACTGGTCCCGTACAGCTGAAAGGCTTGAAAAATGGCACTACTATTGACCTTTCATCTCAGCAATGGACATATCAGGTCATTCTTCCTTTTTGTTTAATTTTCATTTTGCTGCAGTTCCCTGATATGGATTTCAGTAGATTGCACAAATCTGAGGGAAAATGGGGCCAATAACATAAAATTTGGGAAACTGAAAAGGAAAAAAAAAAACAACAAGTTCTTCATTCTGAATGAGCAGTTTGTTACCATCAAAACACCAAAATTTAACAATTTGTCTTTTGCCTTCGTCATTGTGACTGCAGATTGGACTAAAAGGGGAAGATAGTCTTCCCAGTGGAAGTTCTTCTCAATGGGTTTCACAACCTACCTTGCCCAAGAAACAACCCTTGACATGGTACAAGGTAAATTTTTAGCATTATTATCATGTATATGGGTGTATGTGTTGAAATTAGAACTACAGGAAAGAATGTGAATTTGGGTAGAAATTGCAGGGACAAAAAGTGAATTTAACACTTCCAACAGGCTAGGTATTTGCATATGCTGTATTTTCTTGCACTATCATGCTTGCATGTGGTGCATGCTTTAGGAAAACAGTTACTAGGAATGTTAGGATTCTATTCTTTTAGATACTAACCAAAGAAATATTCTTTCTTATTCAGGCAAAATTTAATGCCCCTGATGGCAGTAATCCTGTTGCAATAGACTTCACAGGGCTGGGGAAGGGTGAGGCTTGGGTGAACGGACAAAGCATTGGGCGATACTGGCCGACCAACATTTCTCCAACTAGCGGTTGCCCTGACTCTTGCAATTACAGAGGACCTTATGACTCAAACAAGTGCAGAAAGAACTGTGGCAAGCCATCTCAGGAACTGTAAGTGCTAGAGAATCTAAGGTAAAAACTTGAACTGAAACTTTGATTCTGATATCACTATTCCTACAGGTACCACGTACCCCGTTCGTGGTTGAAACCAAATGACAATACTCTTGTCCTGCTTGAGGAAATTGGGGGTGATCCAACGCAGATATCTTTTGCTACAAGACAGATTGACAGCTTGTGCTCACATGTATCAGAGTCTCATCCGTCACCTGTAGATATGTGGAGTTCAGATTCAAAAGCAGGAAGGAAGTCAGGGCCTGTGCTTTCACTTGAGTGCCCATTTCCTAATCAAGTCATTTCTTCAATCAAGTTCGCAAGTTATGGAAAACCTCATGGGACTTGTGGGAGCTTTAGCCATGGACAGTGCAAGAGCACTAGAGCTCTATCCGTTGTACAGAAGGTGTGACCTTGCTTGCTATGTTAATAAAACTGTGTGCATCTCTATTTTTTAGCTCTTCTTTCTTATGATTAATTTGTATTGGTTTACTGACAAGCGATACCTTGCACAGGCTTGCGTTGGATCAAGGACTTGTAGCGTTGAAGTCTCAGTTAATACATTTGGTGACCCATGCAAAGGAGTAGCAAAGAGTTTAGCAGTAGAAGCTTCCTGTAGATAAGACATTGCTCCCTAACTAGCTCTCCTAATATCTTGTGGGATATAGGTACAATGTTATCCCCAAGTCTCCCTAGTTGAATAAAGTCGTTGTCATGGATGGTACTGAATATGAATAATATTCTCAAATATATTAGAAAAACTATCTGATCAATTTTACAACTGTTGTGCCTGTTTAGAGGATCCTCTGCATACTGTTTATGTATTGATATTGTGCTTGTGCCTAAAACTATACACACGTCAACATAAAATCATAAATATTATATTCTAAACCCAAATCCTAAACACTTAGTCTTTTACCTAATCACAATATCGGCACAAGAAACATATGCATTAGATCCTATTTAGTATATAAACCAGACGCCTATCTGTCCTGGATTGTTGTTCCTGCTAGATTGTGCTATAGATGTAGGCTTGGTAAGTTAGATGCAATTGAAGCCAGAACTTTAGATTGAGAACGGGGTTTCGCAGATGCAGGACCGGTTTGACTAAGGTCCTATGTGCTATAAATGGTTAAACGGGGCAGGTCATGGATCATGTTATACCTATCCGTGTTCCAGAGGGTGGTGCCTTGGGGCCCCAAATTGGCCGGGAAGTTGTCATCCCTACAAGCAAGGTTAGTCACAATAGAGGATTACAATAGTTTAATTCTCTATTTGCCTAGATGTATAGAAAAGAGTGCACAAATTTTGGTGAAAAGCTGCAGTTTGGATAATAAACATACTTAAGAAACACACTACTAAAAAGCTATAGATCAAATGACTGGTGAACCACACTACATTGGAAGCAGAAAATGATGATATAGGTTCACAAAGTAAAATAGCAAATGTCCTGGGCAAGCTTAATTTGCAGCCCTTATTTGTTTATTCATTAATTTCCAAGCCTGCAATATGCTAAATTAATTACCCAAAACCCGATACACACAAATATAAAATGACCACAAAACAAGAAACAATATTTATTTATCTTTAAGTCTTGATCATTATCAGTACTGAGCAACTCTTCCAGTTGCTGCAAGCTCAGGTTGTCCTTGGAACCTGCAAACCTTGCAAAGAGGAGAAAAGAGGGACGAAGTTTGGTACTTGTCCTCCCCACCCATCATTGGCATTGGAACCCCAACCTTCACTGGACTAACATAACCTGGCCTGTAAGTCTTGCCCAAAACTCCCTCCACGAGATCAGATAAATTTGAAAATCTGAATTGTGTCTCCAGATGAGCAAAAGTATCATCAGCTGGTAATTGGTAGTTATGAACTCTGTTTTCCTCTTCTCCAATAGGCCTGACCTTTATGTCCATTTCCAGGAGACCAGCAACTGTAACTCTTACGTAATTTGTGTCATCGGTTCTTTCGACTATCACCTCTGTGTCTTCGCCATTTGTCCTCCATTCCGCGTCTCCATCAGCGGGGATGGTTACTGCCTCACCATCCCACTTTACCATGAGAGAATCAACTTTGTCATCCCACTTTGAGACCCTCTTTGCTGCAATAACAAGGGTGTGAGTGTCGAACATCACTGCCAGGGCCTGAACCCATGTGAAATCACGGGTCCTTCCTGCTGGGCGGGTCCCAATGAAGTGTGCGTTGATCTGGAGGTTTTTGTCTGAGACAATGGCAAAGTTTCCTCCCTTGGCTCCATGGAAGTAGAACATTACACCATCACCACCAACGAACCTAGGATCGTAGCAGAGAGAGCCATATCCATTGCAGTTAGCTTTCCTATCTGCAGAAAGATCACGATCAAATCATTAGTAATAGTCCCCAAATAAATATGATTTAGTCTTTTGTTAGATACGTGACATGCTATGCTGTCAGACTATCAATTTAGACCATACATTCAAATAAGAATCCCCATGATTAATAATTCCGATTCATAAATTATGTCATAGACGAGTAAGTTTCCTCATATGATCTATTTCTTGGTGAAATGACTTACACTTGCAAGTAACTTCACACTTGCTGCCGCAGTTGATGAAGCAACCCTTGTGTTTCTTGTTCTTCTTTGGCTTCCTCTGAGGGCATTCAGATGGACACACAAGGGTCTTGTAATAACAGGCCCCCTTTGCTTTGCAGAAACCTCGCTCCTCCCCTGATTCCAGTGGTGTTAATTCGTCGTAATGTGCCACAGCAGTGTCATCGGCTTCTTTGTCATTACCACTGGCAGTGTTCCCATTCCCATTCCCATTCCCGTTCCCATTTCCATTTCCACTACCTGCCCCCATAACCAAGGCAGCTTCCATAGAAACAAGCACCACAAATAGAGCCACCAATATATGTGACATTGTTATTTTAGCCATTTCTGGCTAAGCTAGTGTATGCTTCTCTTCTCCTTCTGTTGATTTACTTGTGTTTTGTGCTGAAGGATAGATGGGAAGGTCAGGGTACAGAGAGAGATATATAAGGGAGTGTTGAGGAAACCCAAGCCTTGGGGTTCGGCTTATGCTTGTGCACATTGCTTCTTCATGTAATCAAACAGCTTAGAACCAGCAATTTGTGCAATTATTTTATGATTAAATGGGTTCATTTTTATTGACCAAATGGTTGAGTATATTTTATAGTTAAATGCCATACAAAACTTCACGATCAATGAATCTTTTATGAACCTTAAGCATTGGGATTAGCTTTGAGTTTGTGATAGACGACTCAACACGCTTTTTCAGAATTGTAGGAACCTTCAAATATTCCTCGATTGCTTCATATTTGATGTGTATTAGCGTTTCCTGTTTCCTTTTTCAGTTCACATGAGCATTTCTTTCGGCTACCTCAAAGCAATATAATTTAGGGGAAATTGCTTGACTCCTGCAAAATATTACAATTTGCATGTGAAAGATGTAATAAAGATTTTTCAATGACAAACACCATTTGAGTATTGCGATCTATATCACATTTGCCAATTACTTTGCTAGCCTTATTTCTCTCATATGTGGATTTACTTACATAAATGAAACCATATGAGTAATTGTGGCGAGTTTCGCCGTCTATAGATGACGTGATTAGTAAATATAGTACAAATTGTTTTATAAACATATACATATAATTTTATGAAGACAGGTATTAGCATTTGGGGATCTCTTTCAATATTGGGTAGAGAATATATAGACTTAGTTATAAAATCATATTTAGCCTCTCGTCGCATGCTCATGTGTGTCAATAATATTTTTTATTTTATCCTTATCTATAACGAATTTGTTGGACATAAAATCTTTCCTTTTTGTTTTATAACTATTTGCATTTTAATATAGACTATGGTTTTAGTTATTTGTCCCCTTAAAATGAAATAGTTGTGTTTTTAACATTTTTGGTTAAATGAGCGCAATTTGCACTATCATAGATATGGTTTTTTTTTCTTTTCCAAATCAATATGAAATCACTTAAAGACTGTTATCCCTCACTTAAGAAAAATTAGGTATTTAACGTAAAATGATTTTGTACGACTCTGCTGCCAATAGGTTATGTAAGACCACAGGACCCACTTAAATAATAAGGTCAACTGCAATCTACAAGTTGTGTTGCCGTAACTCCTACGCTGTACGTACTCAAAATTTATTAAAGTTGACAAGAGCAACTTACGCTTCTTCTCTCAAGTGAAACCCTAAAAAATATTAGGATCATATGCAATGTAGTCGGGGATAGTGTACTAATTCAATCTCTTCAAACCGACCAAACCAACCCGGCTTAATTTCTTATTTCATAATGATATTTATTAAAAGAGAGTTACAATCACTAAAAAGGACATTATGTTAGACATCGGGAGGTTCCTCAAACCAAGCATATTAAGGTCAACCGGTAAACTAAAACCGAGCTAGCCTCAAACCAAGCATATTAGGGTCAACCGGTAAACTAAAACTGAGCTAGCTCATCGGGTGATCAACAGCATTTGCACCAACCATTAACCCTCTGCAAAATTTCCTATCATCAATAAGCCACCCCACCAAGGAAGTATGCTTGTGTCTTTCAATAGCACATGTCAAATAAACCAAAACCTATCCGGTTTGAATTCTATCCAAATTTCTGATTAGATTTAATTTGCTTATAAATTTTTTTTTCCAATATTTTTTTCCCATTAAAAAAATATTGATAATTTTCAGTGTATCCAATTTAATTGACACTGTCTAACTTAAAAAACAAACAAATCCAATTGGCACTAGATTGAATGGAATTGGATGCTGCTAATCCTAGCGTGATTAGATTGGATATATATATATTTGCAACTTAGTAAACATTGGATCTGAAGTTTTACTAGTTTCGAACTATAACGAACACCCCTAAATATTATTTGCACATGGAGTTTTCTTCGGACCCAAATAACAAATTTAATTAGATAAATTACAACAATACAGTCAATACATCTACAACACAGCAAAAGCACCAAGCTCACAAACAGGGGCAGTTCTGTGCGCAGGGCAAGTTGGGTGCCCGCCCAGCTCAAATTTTTTTATATTTTAAAATACCTACATATGTTATATAAGCCAAGCTCAAAATTTTAAAAATTAAAAGCAAACCCTACACACATGCTGCCCATCCAAGTAGTCTCATATCTTCTTTCTCCTCCTCTTTTGGCTATGCCACATCAACTTGTTTCTCTCTCTCTTAACTACACAGCATCAACAACTTCTTTCTCCCTCTGTTTTCTATATATCTTTAATTATAGTTATAATTTAAAAGTTGAGTACTCTAGGGTTTAATTAGGGATGAAAGAGAGTTTGCTAATAATATCGATAATACATCAATAATTGAGGAATTTAAGAGTTCTAAGCATCGCAGGGTTAAATTTTAGATTTAAAATAGTTTTGTTTTATTTTGCATTGCATTTACTTTTAGTTTTTGTTTTTGTTTTCGTATTTGTGGAACTTTTATTTATGGATATAGATGCATTTGAGGGTAAGGCTCATTACGAACTCCTTGACTAGTTGTATCTTTTTATATTTATTAATGAAATTCATTACCGTCGAGTTTAGCATAAAAGTTTTGCCTAGTTAGCTTTCAAATCCTGTAACCGCACAAAGAAAACAAAGCCAACAAGTTCTAAGAGACAAAATAAAATGGACAAAAGTCGCACAAACAATTACAAAGTCTCACCAAATTTTAGCATGATCTCAAACCAAGTCCACATAACCCAAAACATCCAAAACTCTAAAACCACCTATATGTCTAAGTGAGCAGTATAGTCACCACTTGAAATAGAGCTATAATCAAACCCATCACACCTAGCCCTGAATAAAATGTAGAATATGGGGCGGATATGTGGAAATTTTAGTCTCGAACGACTCAATTACGCATAATAGCAAACGAATGTCCTGTTTGACAACGAAGACCAAAAACAAGAAATGACATATTTTAATCATATAGCATATTAAAAGTAGAGAATTCAACTTAAAATCAATTCTCAATAGGTAATAAAGAGGCCGAAGATATCTTATCTATTATTTTGTTACACAGACTTCCTTGCGTGGGATTCTATACTCACAAAACCTCAGCTCAAAATGAAAGCTGTGGTTTTGCTCAGCCAATGAGCCATGTTTGGTATGCCAATAACATAATTAATTCTCTGATTTATCAAAATGATAGAAAATATATAATGCACAAAGAAAGGTTAATTAGCAATATGTCCTGGGCAAGCTTAATTTGCAGCCCTTATTCGTATAATTTATTAATTTCATGAATAAAATGCTAAAATGATTAGTCAAAACCAGATACATATAATTGAAACATTTTGTATTTCTGAAATAAATAAATAAAAACCGTGTTTAATTTTCTTGATCATTATCAGAACTGAGCAACTCCTCCACTAGTGATTGCAAACTGATCAGATTGAGTAGCAGTCTGGAACCTGCAAACCTTGCAGAGAGTTGAAAAGAGGGATGGAGTTTGGTACTTGTCCTCTCCACCCATCATGGGCATTGGAACTCCAACCTTGACTGGACTAACATAACCTGGCCTGTATGTCTTTCCCAAAACTCCTTCCACAAGATCAGATAAATTGGAAAATCTGAACTGTGTTTCCAAGTGAGCAAAAGTATCATCAGCTGGAATTTGGTACTTGTGAACCCTATTTTCCTCTTCTCCAATAGGCCTAACCTTTATGTCCATTTCTGCTAGCCCTGCCACTGTGACTCTTACATTATTTGCGTCGTCGGTTCTTTCGATGATGACTTCCCTATCTTCACCGTTGGTCCTCCATTCCGCTTCCCCATCGGTAGGGATGTTAATGTCCTCATCATCCCATCTTACCATGAGAGCATCAACTTTGTCATCCCACTTTGAGACCCTCTTTGCTGCAATGACAAGAGTGTGTGTGTCAAACATGATTGAGAGGGCTTGAACCCATGTGAAATCCCGAGTTCTTCCAACTGGTCGAGTCCCGATGAAGTGTGCATTGATTTGGAGGTTTTCGTCCGAAACAATGGCAAAATTTCCTCCCTTGGCTCCATGGAAGTAGAACATGACACCATCTCCACCAACAAACCTTGGATCATAGCAGAGGGAGCCATATCCATTGCAGTTGGCTTTCCTATCTGCCAAAAGAACAAGGATCTAAGTATTAGAAAAGTTCAAATATATATATGTTGATCTATACAAGTTGTGTATATATAAACATAGATTAATTGAAAACAAAATTTGTGAAATGGCTTACACTTGCAAGTGACTTCACACTTGTTGCTGCAGTTAACGAAACAACCCTTTTGTTTCTTGTTTTTCTTGGGCTTTCTGTGAGGGCATTCTGCTGGACACACAAGGGTCTTGTAATAACAGGCCGTATATGCTTTGCATTGACATTGCTCTTGTCCCGATGGTAGTGGTGACAATACGTCGTAGTTTGTAATATCCTTGCTGTTGACATTGACATTGCCATTTCCATTTCCATTACCGTTGCCACTGCCAGTGTTGCCGTTTCCATTTCCATTCCCGTTGCCACTGCCGGTGTTGCCATTTCCATTTCCATTTCCGTTGCCACTGCCAGTGTTGCCATTCCCATTTCCATTCCCGTTGCCACTGCTGGTGTTTCCATTCCCGTTCCCACTACCATTTCCACTACCGGTGTTACCATTGCCATTTGCATTTCCATTGCCACTGCCGGTGTTGCCATTTCCATTTGTGTTTCCGTTGCCACTGCCGGTGTTGCCATTTCCATTTGCGTTACCATTGCCACTGCCTTTGTTGCCATTTCCATTCGCATTTCCGTTGCCACTCCCCTTGTTTCCATTGCCAGTCGCATTTCCATTGCCTTGACCAAAAACAATGGAGGCTTCCATGGAAATGAGAACTACAAAGAGAGCCACCAATACATATGACACTCTAATTTTCGCCATTTTCTAGCTACTGTATATGTTTATATCCTCTATCCTTC